ATACGGGGAATTGTACATGTATAATTCATCTTAATTCTTTTTTTCTCATTCCTATCCTCATTTACAAAAGCTCTACTTCCATTTTCTCTTCAATTCTTTGTTTCCTTTAAATCCTTTCTCTCTTCCTTTCCTTACCACTTCTACAACTTCTTTTTCCCATTTCTGTTTGAATAAGATCATCCTACTTTCTTAAATTTATCCTCAATTTTGCTCCTTGTTGACATTTTTTGTTTTTTTCCACAAGAGAATCAACACAGTATCTGAACTTGTGTGTCTGATGTTTTTCACTTAAAATATGGCCTTCAGGTTCATTCATTTACCTAAATTTATCTTGAGTTTGTTTCCTTATTGCACTGTAGTCTTCTAACCTAAATATATATCCCATTTTCTTTATCTATTCATCTGTTGATGCCATATGGGCTGTTTGTAGCAGCACAGTTTTACTAGCTAATTCTTGGAAACTGTCTCTGTAGTTTCCTTTTTAAACTTTATTTTCTTAGTAGTACATATTCATCATATGTATTGATCACTTTCATCATAGGAAATTTGTACCTGTATATAATATGTCTAATTCTTTTTTCTGATTCCCTTCCCTCCCTTCAACACTTCTTACCCTCCCCATATATAAAAGCCATGTTTTCATTTTCTCAAATTTTTCCTTTCTTTCCCTTTCCATTTGCTCATCCCTCGTTCCCCTTCCTATTTGAACATGTTCTTCTGAATTCCTGATATCTATCTTCCATTATGCTTCTTATCTACCCTTGGGGTTTTTCACACAAGGGAATGTAATATTTAAACTTGTGAGTCTGATTTATTTCACTCAAGGTTATGGTCAGAAAGTGCATCCATTTTCCTACAAATGACTCAAATTTATCCTTCTTTATGACAGAGTAGTACTCCATTGTATAGAAATACCACATTTTCTTTATCCATTCAGCTGTAAATAGGTGTATAGGCTGTTTCCAAGATTTAGCTATTATAAATTTTGCTGTTAGAAATATGGACATGCATATAACTTTGTGATATGATGCTTTTAACTCTTTCAGGGAGATGTCTAGAAGGAGAACAGCTGGGTCAAATGGAACCACTAGTTTTAGTTTTTTCAAAAATTTCCATACTGATTTTCATAGTGTTTCTACCAATTTACATTTCCCAGCACTGGAGGAGGGTTCCCTTTTACTCACATCCTGACCAGCGTTTTTATTTGTTGATATCTTAAGGCTAGCCATGTTTTTGAGGTGTGATGGACGTTTAGTGCTTTATTTTGCATTTCTCTGATGACCACTGATGTTGAGAATTATTTATGTTGAGCATTTTTATACATTTATATGCTATTTGTATTTCTTCATCTGAGAAATGCTTATTTCAGATGCCAAGTTTTGTGTTGAGTCTTTAAATTTGGGACACCTTTTCTTGTAGTTCTTTATAGATTGCATGTTAGTCTTTTGTCTGAAGAACAAATGATACATTGTTTCCCCATTCTCTGCATTGTCTCTTCATTCTGTGGGTTTCTTTTGCTGATCAAAACTTTTATTTTCCTGTAATCCTAATTGTTGATTCTTTGTAACATTTTTCATGTGATTTGTTTTTTGTTCATAAAGTCTGTCTACATATATAATTTTTAGAGTTTTACCTATTCTATCTTATAGCAAATTATGTGTTTCTGTTTTTTTTATTTAGGTCTTTATCCATTTCATTTTTAATTTAGTGTATGGTGAGAGATATGGGGCTAGGTTCAATTTTTGGCATGTGGAAAGCCAATTTTTCCAGTACCATTTATTAAAGAGGCTGTTGTTTTTCCAGCAAAAGGTGTGTGGGCCCATTGTTAAAGATAAGATACCTGATTGCTTAGAGTCATTTTTGCACCTTCCATTTTGTTCTTCCTTTCTGTTTTTTTCTTTTCTTTCTTTCTTTTTTTTTTTTTTTCTGGTACCATGCTTTTTGTGTCATGGTAGATTTGTAATATAATTTCAAATTGGGGATTGGGATATGCCTGCCTTGGTCCTGTTGCCCAGAATTGTTTTTGGTATAATAAGTCTCTTCTGGATCTGTGCAAATTTTAGGATTGTTTTCTCTAGTACTGCGAGGTATGCTATTGGTATTTTGATTGAGATTGCATTAAATATGTATGAGTTTTAAAAATATGACCATTTTCACAATATTAGCTTTGCTTATCTAAGAACAAGGGATGTCTTTGTACTTTGTGATATTACCTTTGATCTCTTTTTTCACATTACTTTAGTTTTCAGTGTATAGGTCTTTCATTTCTTTTGTTAAGTTGATTCTAAGTCTTTCATTTCTCTTCATGCTATTATAAAAGGTGTGATTTCCCCAATTTCTCTCTGAATGAGTTTGTTATTTCATGTACATGAATGTTATTTATTTTTCAGTATTGATTTTGTTGTCAGGTTGCTATTTGGTTATTAATTCTAGAAGTCTTCTGTGGAGTTTTTTGGGTTTTCTATGTAGAGTATCATATGTCATGAGCAAATAATAATAACTTTTTTTCCTATCCATATTCCTTTAATTTTTTATCTCATATCTAATTGCTCTGGCTAATGTTTACAGAGCTCTCTTTGTTTCAAATTTCATGTCAGGTCATTCAGGAGTCCTAGGTACCTGCTTCGTTTTATATCTTGTTTTTTCTCTCTCCCTCAGTTGTGATATTTTTCAAAGTCTAGATTTGGAATTTTGGAGAAGCTGAATTGATATTACTCACCACCTTATTTTCCAGGACTGACAGTTTGAATGTAACACACCTGCATAAACAAAGGGGCCCCCATAGACCCTGGCTTCCCGTGTTATCAGCCTTGAGCTCCTGGTAAGTGTGGCTGTATATAAACTGCTTGCAATGCTACAGAGTGTTTGCATGGGGGAGAACTCACAGTGGTCACGAGCTGCTTCCAAGAGGTGACTATAAGTGAGTGGAAGGAGCGAAATATGGTTAGTAAGTTGAGGACCACAGAAGTTGATAGACCCAGGATATGGACCCTTCCTGAGGACTGAGGATGTCTGTAACCCAGAAAAAACAGATCCCAGACTCTGCCTGTTCCCTGTGTTATCCCTGGGAGGCTCTAATTAGCATGGTCTCTTCTACCATGGGCTTGAAAGATGAGTTCTAGGTCTGCAAGGGAGAGATCAGCTCATCTTGGCCGGCATGGGGCTGAGGGAGGGCAGGCACAGACAGGATGATGATGCAGAAAGTACGGAGTCGCAAAGGTTTTACCTTACTTATGTTCTCATTGCTGAGACACAGTACCTCACACTTATTGTCTAATGGAAGAAAAGTTGATTTGGGCTCACAATTATGAAATTTTCAGTCCATAGCAAGCTCCATGCTAGAATAGCAGATTGAAACGCCTTGATGAGTGAAAAGCTGCTTGCTACAAGTCCTCCAGCAAGCAAAGTGTAAAAGGAAGAGCCAGGAAAGAAGATATAACCTGCTCTGTCACACCCACAGCGATACTCCTCTTCCTGCAAGGCCCCCGCTCCTAACAGCAGGTCAGGTGTAAGCATCCATAGTCCAGTCCCCTTCCAGTCCTCCTCAAAGTTCCAGCATATCATCCCCTGCACACAATCTGGTGAGATCTAGACTTACACCATGACAGGGCCCTGCATTACAGGAGGGATGGACATAGTTCCTAAACCTAGTAATGATGTCCCCAAGTAGGAGTGATGGGATGGGCACCTGCTCACTTCTTTTGAAAATCCAGGGGTTCTCAAGGAGGCATGAGGGAAGTAATCAGACATGGTATCCACAGATTGATACACAGAGCTCCATCTGGTCAGGTGCTACACTTTTCCCTTATCTTCCAAGAATCAAGGTGGGAACCCTAGGGAACGATTTAGGGTACTCCTGACCTAAACTCAGACAGGTGCATGGTTCTTTGACCCGAGATCTGTGCTTGCTGTCATCTGAGCAAGACTGAGCATTGCTGATAGGCTGAGGCTGCTCCTTTAGTTCTGCATTACCGACCTCAGTGAGGTAAAGGTCTTTGTACAATGGGGCTGGAACCGGGATGGCAGAAGTAGGTTCCCATTGTCTAGGTGAGGCAGAGGAAACCCACTCACCTGAACGCACACTAACTTATCCTCAGCCTATCCATTTTGTCACCTGTAGTTGGACACACGGAACAGAGGTAGACTGGCTTTCCTCTGTTTACTCTGAGTGTCTCACAGCAGTATTGCAGGGATTTCAAAAAGATGGCCACAAGTTACTGCAACAAGAGCTCTAGACCTAAGCATTTACCAGGGTAAACATGGGGCAGGTTCCCTTTCCTAGGGCACATGGACCTCACTGAATTTTTCTACTGCCAGCTGTTGTGTCCAGGCAGCTACAGCATGATGTATAGCCCCCTCACTTTTGATCCCTCTCAGGAAGGGGTAGATACAACTTCTGAGAGTTTGCTTCAGGTCAGGAACTGTCATGAGCTAGGGTCCAGGCACTGCTCAAGGACCACTGAGGGCCCTTAGTGTACAGAAAGTGTACCACCCACCAGAAAGCAATGGAGCTCAGCAGTCCAGCCCAGCCCTCCTGTGAGGTCTTGAGGTCTTCAGCCTCAGGGCCTCCATGCCTCTTACAGGAGCTCCAGGAAGCAGGCAGGGAATGTCTTTGTCTGAGGCAATGTCCACAGCTCACACAGAACAGGTCAAGGAGTCAAGATGAAGTTTAGGTCCTATTACATGCCTAGGTCTCTTCCTGTCCCAGAGCAGGGACTTCTCATAGTCCCCAGGCTCCATATGCTATACTATCTTTCCTAGAGCCCTGTCTTCAACAGTTCAACTGCAGCCTGAGAAACAGCCTCATTTCATGTCCCAGGGGCACAAGGACAGGTCCTGCAAGTGGATAGGAGACTCCATAACCTTAGAGCACCACACACAAAAGGACCCATAATGGGTCTTTGTGGGAGGCAACAAGCGTGTTGTGCTCAGCTGAGAACACTAACTGCCTCTCTCTCTCCTCCAGGTATCTGAGTCTTCAGCAAGCTCTTGCTGCCCTCATGGCTGCCAGACAAAGCTGTCAGTGTGGTGAGGGCCGCCACAGACAAAATACACAGGAATCAAAACCCGTGGAGGCCATCAACTTCTCGCAGATCCTGCAAGGTGTGCTTTTACATGACAAGATACGTAAATTGATGCCATTCCTGCTCCGCAAATATCAAAAGAAGGAGCAGATCACCATGGAAGAAATGCTGCACACTGTGGGCCGCGATTACCGTGGGGAATTCCCTGCTATCTTTAGGGAATTCTGTGAGTCTGTGAGTCTGGGCTTTGGCATTGATATAAGGAAGAGTGATCCCTTTGGGTACAGATATAAGCTCGTTCCTGTTTTGGGCCTCACTTACAGTGGGCTGCTGGATGATGATAATCAAATAGTGCCCAAAGTTGACATCTTGATATTCATCTTGTCTCTAATCTTCTTAAATGGCAACCGTATCAGTGAGGAGGAATTAAAGACAAAACTGGAAAGATGGGAGATGTTAGCTCGTATTGAGAATATTTGTTTTAAGAATCCCTGGAAATTCATCACTGAGGATTTGGTATGGGCACAGTATGTGGAGTACCGGCAAATTCCTAACAGTGATCCTGTTCGCTATGAGTTTCTCTGGGGTCCTAGAGCTCATGCTGAAACCACCAAGATGAAAATGCTAGAGCATATGGCCAAGCTTAATAGTGAAGATCCCAGGGCTTACCCAGAGCTATATGAAGAGGCTTTAACTGAAGAAAGAGGTGCAGTCAGGGTCCCTGAAGGGCAAAAGAAGTGAGAGGGGCAGGGAATGTTCTGCAACCACTTCGCAGGCTTCTTTCCACCCCATGTGAAATGAGGCCTATTCTCAGTCTGTTTGTGGAGAGCAGAAAGTTTCTAAGTAGTGATGAAATAGGAGAAGGGGTCCAATATTGTATATGCCACCTTGATGTCTTTTCTATTTGAGTTACTAGGAAATGTACAAGGGTTTGTTTATGACTTTGTTTTTCCTTCTTCTGGGAGATCGCGGTAGCTTGCAAATTTATTTGAAGAATGGTATTGATCTCCTATGTATTTTTAATTTTATGATATTTGTGTCTTCTGATGTGAATGTGATTTTGTCTGACGTTGATCACAAATTAAGTTCCTTTCCCATTCCAAGTGCAAGTCTTTCCTATTTATAATACAAACAGGGAAATCGTTCAAATTATTTGTGATAAAATAGTAGAATATGAATTTCTTTGGAAATGTATAAGAAGTTTACATCAAGTTAGAGGGACCCTAGAAATAGTGATAAGAACACTAGAATGGATTTTCATCCTTATTTCTCTTCCCCTGTTGACCTATACTATTAAAATTATATTTACTGCACACCTGAATATGCTCATTTTCTTCAGTTTTGCTAGGGAAATGTACTGTCAATAAAGAAGTCTATCTGATCACAGTCACATTGACCCCGAACCTTCATTGCATGTGTACCTCTGGGAGGGCCCTGTGTCTGTGGTGGAGATATGAGTACACTAGCCTGAGCAGGATCAAACCTACCCCACAGGATGGCAGAGACCAGGAACACCACCAGTGAGTGGAGCTAGACTCAAGAGCCTAAAGGGCATGCAAGAGAGCCCTTAGAAGTTGCACTCTAGCAGAGGGCAGCCATGAGTAAATACTGAGCCAGAGCCTCAGATAAGGAGTCCTGGGCCTGAGATAAAAGCTTCAGGGAATGGAAGACTGCTCTGAGCAGGGCTTCTAGATTGTAGATGAAGCTGATAGGAATCCTCACCTTGGCACAGCTATAAGAAGAATGTTCCTATGCAGGGCACGAACCAGGGTACTTTATACCCAGCCTCTGCAAGGATTTCCTGAGAGAGAAGGGTGAATCTAAGATGAATGGAGGCCCTAAAGTCCCTGGGCAGGCACTCTACCCTCTGCTAGGAGTATCCGGGTTCCAGGGTCTTGCAGTGCCCAGTTGACTGCTTTTCCGGGAAGAACTTCTTATAAATTTGTGTTCCCTCAAGCACTTTTACAAGATGGACATGATGAGCCAGCCAGTCACACTGCCCAGTTACACAAGTAGTCAGACAACTGCCTGACCAAGGGCTTCTTCCTCCAGAGACACTTCTCCCTGTTCACAAATATCTTGTCTTATATGAGGACTCAGTCTAGGCCACTTTCCAATTTTTTCCTTTGTAAATGAAGTTTACACTAGCATTGTCAGGGCACGTAATTTTGCTTGAAGTTTCTTGGAACTTCATCTGTGGTGAAGTGGCCTTTTCATTAAAGTGGTTTTAGGCTCCACTGTCATGGAGGCCTCCTAAGCCCCAAGACTAGGTTTTTGTGAAGGATTAAGGATTGAAAATAGTTGTTCCATTTGAAGAGATGCTGGCAGAGAGGGGAATGTAGTTCTTCACCCAAATTCCAGGAGCTGTGAATTACGTGGTCGTAGGCAGGACAGAATCCCCAACATCTAATGAAAGTAATATGTACTATGAAAAAGAATATATTGAGTGAACATTTTATGAGTAACTTTTTTGCTTGGTTTTCTAATGACCTGAAACTTCCCTTGGAAACACTAATTTTCCAGTAAAAGTGTCTGAACTTATGGTAATACTAGAACCAGTTGCTTATGACTAATCATTCAATATATGTCTGAAATTCTGCCAGGTAGTTTTTTTTTTGTTTTTGTTTTTCTTCCGGTACCGGGGATCGAACTCACAACCTTGCACTTGCCAGGCAGATGCTGTGCCACTGAGCTAAATCCCCAGCCCTGCCAGGTGTTTTAATACAATTGCTACATCCCCCCCGCAAAAAAAAGAAACAAGTATGTCAATCATCATACCCATTTTTATAGAATAACCTGAGTTCTACTGAGCTTGAGATATTTTTGGGATCCCTGTATATAAATGACAAGGGCGGGACAGCTCTTAGTATGAGGTCATCTACAGGCCACGGTGTTCCTATTCCTCCCAATCTGAAACCAGCTTTATTTCTGAATTTATTTCTACATTCAGAAAAATAAAATGTATTTCCCAGGATGTAGTAAGACCCTGAATCCAAGGCACTGATATCTGGCCTGAATTAAAATGTAAAACTGAACAGGAAATGGGTGCACACTATTCCCAGGGGAACTTCCCACAATCACTTACCCTCTCCCACTTCATGTAGAAGCCTCTGCCTGTCCTTTTGATCACCCTGGAAAGCCTCCAATAGCAACAGGATTTTTCACATAAAAGTTAACTTTGGACTATGATGTTTACACACAGGGTTTTATCCCTGAAGAACAAAATATCACACTGTCGAAGTTTTTACCAAATGGGTGATAATTTGACATACAGCAGAATCTCCTCCTTTTCTTGCCAGGTAAATTCAGATGCATTTTGAAACCATCTTCATACTTTTGTAAGATTTTAAGTGAGTCACTAGAAAAGGTCCGTAGAACACATGCGGAGGTGCATGAGCTTATGTAGGTGGTCAGACCCGCTGCTCCCTGACAAGCTGCGGGTGAGGCAGGACCACGCTCACCACAGTAGAGGAAAGGAAAACAGCTGTGGAGGCTGTATTCCTCCAAACTCTGAAGTCCGCTGAGTAGCTGGTAAGTTCTGCTTTGCTGATCTTAAAGATAAAATACACCTCCTGTCTCCAGTCTCTTTAACGTATCCATCTCTACAAGGAAATAGGTTTTCAATGTGCCAGATGACACTCATCCTGCTGTTCAGACAAGGACAGTCATGTGTGCTGTAGGAACAGTTCACAAGTTAGCAGACTGGCCATGAGGTCAAAAGACAGGAGGAAATCCTTAGGCAGTAAGATTGGAAGTTATTGTGAAGGGAAGAACAGACAAGTGTTAGTGGTAAAGAACAAGAAACTTCATTGAAATGAGACTGATACTATATCTAAACAATTTGTAACATACTAAATGGCTCTTGAAAAGGCTGGAGAATTTCTATGCCTATTTCATCTGTTCAAAACTCCTGCCAGAAAGAGAATTTTTTCTTAACAAATCATATTTATTATTTGTGCTTGAGCATTTACTATGTGACCACTTATGCTGATTCTTCAAATCCTCACCAACACACAGCTTATCTTTTTTGGGGGGGAGCACTGGTAATCGAACTCGTGGCCTCACGCTTGTCAGGCAGGTGCTTGAGCCACTGAGCTGTATCCCTGGCCCTCACAGCTTATCTTTGCCACTTCTTTGGACACAGGAATACTATAGTCCATTTATCCTTAGGCAGGGTCCTTTGATGATCCCGTACCACTGAAATACTAGCAGACCCATTATTTATTCTTTCCAGCCATTTCTATAGGTGGTGCTGTAGAAGTGGATTAATACTCATGCCCCTGGCCACACAACATAGACACCTCTCTGTTTGCATCACAGGGAGGGTCAGCCATGCATGTTTGCTCCCTTTGTGTGGAGCAAGATGATTCTGTACCTCCAAGACCCTGGGCAGGAGCTGCCTCAGAGATGCTGAGTGCATAGTTTCCTTCATGAAATCCACAACATTCAGGATTCTGAGCACACCTGTCAATCTCATGACATTTATAATGTCAACGCCAATGTGAACTGCAGATGGTGGTCAAAATGATCTAAATCCTTGTGGTGACTGGAGGTTTCCTCCTCCTGTTACTGTGACCTATCGGCTCGCCCCTCTCCTGGCCTTAGCCTGCCTCGTTTGGACAGTCATGCTGTCTCTTTCCCTACTACCACCCTCTCAGCCCAAGACAGGACCCACTGCTGATGGTAACATCTCTACCTGATGTTCCCCAGTAAGAATTATGTTAGGAAGTTGTTTTTCTGTATGGTTCCAGAAAAGCTAAGGTGTGCACCGAACAAATGCACAAGGAACAAATTTTTTCATGTGATTTTGAGGTCTGCCATGATGTCATGCTAGCTGGTTTAGCAATTTAAAATCATTTATTTCCTCATAGTCCTGCAGGTTGGAAGGCAGGAATGGAAATTGCTCACAGGGATGCATTCTCCTGAGCTCATCTCCTTGGCTTGCAGGTGGCCATAGACATGGAACACTGTGAGTTTCTCTACCTGCATTTCCTCTTTAAAGAACTTGAGGCCAAACATAGGCAACTTTTGAGGTATTGCCAGGAGACCAACATTTGGTACATTTCATGCTAGAGGACAAATTTCACTCTATACCAATACGTACTAGAGGTAAGAGGTAAGGTGGAATCTCAATGCTGTTTTAATTTGCATTTCTAAAATGACTAATGATGTTGAACATTTTCTCATATATTTATTTGCCATTTGTATTTCTTCATCTGAGAAGTGTGTATTCATCTCAGCTGCCCATTTTTGGATTGGGTCTTTGAATTGGGGGGGGGCTGATATTTTTTAATTCTTTATATGTTCTAGATAGAAGCCCTTTGTCCGAGGGACAGTAAGCTAAAATTTTTTCCAAGCTTGCGGGTTTTCTTTTTACTCTGCTGGTGATTTATTTAGATGGGCAGAAACTTTTCAGTAGGGTGAGATCCCAGTTGTTGATTCTTTCAAGTGTTTCACGTGCAGTTTGGTTTTTGTTCATGAACTCTTTGCCTACCCCTATGTCTTCAAGGTTTTTACCTACCTTCTCTTCCAGTAGCTTTAGTGTTTCTGGTTTAATATTGAGATATGTGAACCATTTTGACTTGAGTTTGGTGCATGGTGATAGACTTGGGTCTGTTTTCAGTCTTTGGCAGGTGGCAAGCCAATTTTTCCAGCACCATTTATTAAAGAGGCTATCGTTCTTCCAGTGAGTTTGTTTGGCCCCTTTATCAAAGATTAGGTGGCTGAGTGTGTTTTTGGTTGTGGCTGTTTCATCCAGTCTGTTCCATTGATCCTCAGGTCTGTTTTTTAGCCAGTACCAGGTTGATTTTATGGCAGTAGCTTTGTAGTGTAATTTCAGGTCAGGGGTTGTGATTCCACTGGACTTGTCCTTGTTGACCAGGATTGCTTTTACTATTCTGGGTCTCTTCTGGTTCCACATGAAATTAAGGCATGTTTTCTCAAGATCTGTGAGGTATGCTAATTGTAGTTTAATGGGAATTGCATTGAATCTGTACAGCAGTGTTGGGAGTATGGCCATTTTCACAATGTTGGTTGTTCCTATCCATGAGCAAGGAATATTTTTCCATTTACTGAAATCTTCGATCTCTTTTTTCAGAGTACTGTAGTTTTCATTGAATGGACCTTTTACTTCTTTTGTTAGATTGATTCCTAAATATTTCAATTTCTTGGATGTTATTGTGAAAGGTATGGTTTCCTTAATTTCTCTCTCAGTCTGTTTGTTGTTTGTGTATAGGAATGCTATCGATTTTTGGGTGTTGATTTTGTATCCAGCTACAGTGCTGTATTTGTTGATTACTTCAAGGAGTCTTCTTGTGGAGCTTTTGAGGTCTTCCATGTAAAGTCTCATGTCATCTGGAAATATTGATAGTTTTAGTTCTTCCTTTCCTATCCTTATTCCTTTTATTTCTCTCTCTTGTCTAATTGCTCTGACTAATGGATCCAAAACTATATTGAACAGGAGTGGTGACAGCGGACATCCTTGTCTTGTTCCTGATTTCATTAATATGAAATTAAAGGAAAATGGTCAAGAGTAAAGGGTAACTGGGATGTGGTAAAAGAGAAGGGAAAGAAGGAAAAATTTTGTATGTATGTATATACAGTATAGTTAACATACTTGATCTACTGTCTCTTATTTCTTTGCTGAAACTGTCAATGAGTCCTTGATTGATCAATATTGCCTGTCTCTATTTGTTTTCATGAGAAACCACTTTGAAGATATCAATATGTAATACAACAAGCATTGCTAACTTCCTACCACTTTGTTTGTAACTCTGTATTGTTTGTATTGTTCTTTTGCTGTTTTGTAAAAGGTTGTCTGTTAAAGTTTTCCTCCTTGGGGCTGGGGATTTAGCTCAGCGGCAAAAGCGCCTGCCTGGCAAGCGCAGGGTCGTGAGTTCGGTTCCTGGTACCGGAGAAAAACCAAAAAAAATAAATAAATAAAATAAAATAAAACTTTTGGGGGCTGGGGATTTAGCTCAGCGGCAAAGCGCCTGCCTGGCAAGTGCAAGGTCGTGAGTTCGGTTCCTGGTACCGGAGAAAAACCAAAAAAAAAAAAAAAAAGTTTTCCTCCTTTTATTTTTAAAATAAGAAAATGGAAAAAAAAAACCAATATGTACTAGAACACAGAAGATATCACAAGACAAACTATAAGAAACTATGAAATACAAAAATGTACATCCCGGGGCTGGGGATTTAGCTCAGCGGCAAAGCGCCTGCCTGGCAAGCGCAAGGTCATGAGTTCGGTTCCCGGTACCGGAGAAAAACCAAAAAACCAAAAACAACAACAACAACAAAAAAAAACAAAAAACAAAAATATACATCCCATGGGGTTGCACTATAGCTCACTTCATCGAGTTCTTGCCTAGCATTCGTGAGACACTTAGTTTGGTCCTCAAAACTCCAAAAAGAGAAAAGAAACAGAGAAAAAATAATGTATCACAAAGATATGAATGCAGAGACATCACAAGTCAAAAACATGAGCTATATGCTTACTTTGAAAAAACAAAAAAACAGGACCACAAAAAATAATCTCTAACAACATACACACACACATAGAAAATGAGCAAATCTACCCCCTAAATAAATATAAGTAAAGGAGGAAGAATGAAGGATAGCGTAGAAAGAATGAAATACAGAATTAAAATAAGTGGAGAAATTTATGTAGGGAAATTTGAATTTTGTGGGGTTTTTCTTGTTTCTCTTTTTTTGGTACTGGGAATCGAACTCAGGACCTTATGCTTTCCAGGCAGGGGCTTATGCCACTGAGCTATATCCCTGGCCTGGAAATTTTAATTTTGAAAAGATTAATGAGTCCTCTGCACACGGCTCCTTCACTCTCTGTGGGCTTCCTTCTCCTCTGATTGCCACCGGCCTGCTCGCCAGGCAGCACCGTTATGGCGATTCGCAGACCCAACGTTGTGATTAGTGATGATGAATCAGGCTATGACCCAGATGTACTTTGTATTCCTAATCATTACGCTGAAGAGTTGGAAAAGGTGTTTATCCCTCATGGACTAATTATGGATAGGACTGAAAGACTTCCTGGAGATGTGATGAAGGAGATGGGAGGCCATCACATTGTAGCTCTCTGTGTTCTCAAGGGGGGCTATACATTCTTTGCTGACCTGCTGGATTACATTAAAGCACTCAATAGAAATCATGATAAATCCATTCCTATGACTGTAGATTTTATCAGACTCAAGAGCTACTGCAATGACCAGTCAACAGGGGACATAAAAATAATTGGTGGAGATGATCTCTCAACTTTAACTGGAAAGAATGTCTTGATTGTTGAGGATGTAATTGACACTGGCAAAACAATGCAAACATTGCTTCCCTTGGTTAAGCAGTATAATCTAAAGATGGTCAGGGTTGCAAGCTTGCTAGTGAAAAGGACCCCTTGGGGGCTGGGGATTTAGCTCAGTGGCAAAGCACCTGCCTGGCAAGCGCAAGGTCGTGAGTTCGGTTCCCGGTACTGGAGAAAAAAAAAAAAAAAAAGGAAAGGACCCCTTGAAGTGTTGGATATAGCCCAGAATTTGTTGGATTTGAAATTCCAGACAAGTTTGTTGTTGGATATACCCTTGATTATAATGAGTTCTTCCAGGATTTGAATCATGTTTGTGTCATTAGTGAAGCTGATAAAGTCAAATACAAAGCCTAAGATGAGAGTGCAAGTTGACATAAGAGACACTGGGAGTCCCATTGGTATCGGCAAAAGAATTATCAGATGTGCTAGTTTTGTGGCCATCTGCTTGGCAAAGCTTTCTGCATGAACCTTCTAAAATTTTATCTATTTTGTATCTTAGAAGTGTCAGTTGTGGCAGTTCTGAACTTTGTATTTGCACTGTGATCCTATAGACTATCAGTTCACTTTGGGTGGGTTCCTTAACTTGTGAATGAAAAAAAACTCAAACTACACCACCATTAAATAAGAATATTGAAATTATATTTGTAAGAAACATTTGAGTAATATTAGTTTTTTTGTTGGTACTTTAATTTTTCTATATTCAGGAAAGAACAGAAGTGATTGAATATTGTTCATTATATCACCATGTATTTAGAAAAGTCAGAAGTCAGATTTTTCATTGATATTGGTGACAGCATCTATGAGGTTTGTTCAGTTGAAAAAAATCTAAGTAGTGTTGCGTCTTTTATTCCCCACTAGTTCAAGATTATTTCCCATTAATATTTGTTATCGGTTTCTTTTAAATGCATATAAATAATTTTTAAAAAGTAAAAAAATAGAAAAGATTAATGAAAGTCAAATATCTTTAGGTGAACTAAGCAAGATAGTAAAGATACCCCAAGATTCTGAAAATCATTCTGAAAGGCTCTATAGTGGATGACTATGTGATTTTCTGGAAAAGGCAATATAAGAGTGATGATAAAAATCCCTGGTTGACAGTGGTTCGTGGAGGAGGGAGGGAAGAAATTTTGACTAAGTTAAGGGAGGGGAAGTTTTAGGGTGGGAAATCTATTCTGAATGATAGTATATTTGGGGTTCCTTCACAGATACACGTTTGTCAACACGGGCTGAAATTGACAGTGCAGTTGGTGTAGGCTGCCTCAACCCTTGAAAATGAATGCATCAACAAGAACAGTGTTAAAATCACTGTGCAGGGCTGCCCTGTATTTCCAAGCTGTGGCAAAGACAGTGTAGGTGTTGTGATAGTACTTCCATGAAACATGAAGCTGGGAGGCTAGGGGCAGGCACATTGTCATAAGTTTCTGGGAAATTGAGTGGGTTCTTCAGAAGAAGTCTCCATCTCAGTGTTTGGGGCGAGATTGGATGCAGTGAGGTAGGCCAGGAATATGTCTTGGTGGATTTCTCCATGGCCAATGTCCACAGCTCAGTATATGGATCCCTGTCCTATTTGACAAGGATGATGCATTGCCCCACCTAGAGCTAGAACAAGTTATACCATGTCTGCGTGGATTGGAGACAAGATGTATACCATGCAAGATAAGGGATTTTTAGGGGATAAAAGAAAACCACATCAATGAATGCACACTTGAATCAAAAGGCATATTTATATTCAAGAATTCTAAAACAATCAGGCAAAGTAAGTCTTGAACGCAGAGAAAAATGACAATTCTGACTACATCATTCCTGTGTGATAGATATTTCACACCTAGGTGATATTTTATACTAACTCAAATCAATTCTTCCAAGCTAAAATTTTCCCTTGAGTCTCAGAGGAGACTTGGTCTTGGTTTTTGAAAAATGCTGGAATTGTTCCAATTTGGGGGAAGGGATTGTTTTGGTTTTAGTACTATGGGGGATAGTTGTATTATGTTAAGTGGACTTATGAAATTGATATTACTGTCTTTATGTGGAGAATAGATATGATTTAAGAAGATGTGTTTGGGTATGCAATTCACAGGGGGTGAAGTTTGATCATTAATCCTAACAGGGGAAGAAGCAGTCTAATGTAGCTGTTTAAGGTGGGATAGTCCTGGGTGGGGGAGGTCATAGAAGTGTGATCTTCAGTAATGTATATGATATTTGGGCCCTTCCACTCTGGCACTGTTCTGCAGTTCTGCTCCCTGCCCCCACGAACTGAGTGGCTATTTCCTTCCAGGACCTTCTCCCATGTTGTTTCTGCCTTGGAGCCAGCCTATCATAGACTGAAAACATCAACGAATTAACCCTGTACTCCTTGCAGTTGTGGTTATTGTAGCAGCAACATGAGAAGCAAGTGTGGGTACTGTCTTGTGCTTCTGCAATTAAATTCAAAAAACAACAGAAAAGAGAGAGAGAGAAGACCTAGCAAACACATCTAAGCAAGTCGATGTAAACACCAAAACATGCGGAAGGCCCTGGGGAGACTGGAGACTGTGGAGCTGGTCCCTGAGTGTGGGTAGGGGCAGGGAAGCTGAGGGCTGCACTGGTAGCACATGACAGCATCAGCCAGAGGAAAGTTTTGAAACTCCTGCCTCTATAGCACTGCACGGGCTGAGGCAGCACCTCATACCAGAGATGCTATGCACCACTGAAACAGCAGGAAGTCACCAGCAGGAGGGCAGAAATTGTCAGGCATGCATCAGGTTGAATGACATCAGGTGGTCAAGCTGTGCTCACTGGTGTGGTAGGAAGGAAGGTGCTCCAGCATCTTCCTTAAGGGATCAACTGATTTTGGCCAAGAGAGGACCAGACTAGAAACGGATCCTGAGGCCCAGGACTTAGGAAAAATTCATGTAGTTCTAAGTGTCTTCCACACTCTGAGATGTGGTAGCTGGTGAAATTTAAACAACTTGGCAATAAACCCAAATCAAAGGAAGATTGGAGCAGAGTTTGAGGAAATGGAATTACAGTCTGTGCTACAGAGATATTACTTGATGCCCTTCAGCTGGGCTGGGAAGATAGGCATCAAGTTTGCTTAGGTTAAATTCAGGGACTGAGAGAGAGAGGAAGCCCCAGATGCGTCTGACAGTCTGCAAATAACCCATGTCTGCCTGTGTTGACAGCCCTGCACTGTGCAGTGGAGAATTCTCAGGGGAGCACCCCCTGTTGCCTCAGGGAACCCTTGGAGTTTAGAACCTGGTTCTAAGGCCCTTGCTTAAGGTAGGAGCAGCAGAGAGCACCTGAGCTCAGCTAGGTCACGTTGAAGGGCTGGGACATAAATGTGGAAGCTCTGAGCCAGGTAGCGGGTCCCCAAATAATACATACCTTCCAGTATCATCAGCCGTGTACCTGGGACACACTTGCCAGGCCGCTCCACCCTACTCGCCCCACCCATAGTGGCCTTTCTGCCTTAGAAATACTTGAGTGTCAGGCACTTTGTTTAAAAGGAAGCACAGTGGGGTTGACAGAGGACATGGGGACCTGGCTTTGGGAGAGACAAGATGAGATCTGATGGAGGACTAGGGGCCCAGAAAAAAATTCCTTTTAGAACTTCCTGTCAACTCCATGAAGGTACAAGGGAGACAACCACTGATGTCTGCATCTGGCATCAGAGGTCGGGGGGCTCGTTCTGATGCCTGTCCTTCATGTGAGGGGAGCAGAGAGAACCTGTTCCCACTCCTGATGAGGACCTGAAGGGGGCAAGGAAACTGCAGGCCAGCAAGACTCTCTCTGAACAATCCAGATCCATTTCGATTGTACGTCCTGGACCCCACAAGGGCAGGCTTCTAAGAATGAGTCCTCTCCGTTCTTTGTACTCCATGTGACAAGGAACACTCAGTAAACAGTGATAGGGGTTCAGACTCCCAGGAAACAGGGTTAGGACTCAAAGGGAGGAATAAGGTCATCCATCTCACCTTACTAATGGAGCCCCGTGGGGGACTTATTTGGCACAGTTATCAGGCCTGCCATGCTCTGAGCATGGTGCCTGGCTGTGTGATCTAACTTCTATGGGTGAGGCCCGGAGAATGGTCACAAGGGAGGGTGCTTTGCGCTCCGGAACAGAGATAACTCCACAGAAGACTGCCACTGCCCTTATTCCAGGTAATCCCCCATGTAAGGTTATCAGACAGAGGATTGCTGACTTCTTCAACAAGGTCTGCGGGACTTTAGCATCTTTGAAGTAGTAGAAAGGCCTCAGGGAAAGGGAGGGTACAGACCCTGGCCCAGTCAAGATGAAAAATGAGGCAGGACTGCAGGGCCCAGGACACATGACAGATGGGACCCAGCCTGCCCATTCTTTCAATCTGAGTGCTGTCCTGCATTCCTACTTGGAATCTGAAGAAGGACTTAGATCAGGGAGGGGTGGAGCTGCTGCTAGGACTTAAAAGCAGGACTTATAAGGACATTAAAAGGGTACTGGTTGCTAGATCAGAGGGTTTCCTCCTCCCAGTTATTATCCCCTTCTGGACGCTGTGCACTTTTGCCCCTGGCTGCTGGTGTCAGGAAGGGGAGTGTGTTGGTTTGAGAAGTGTGGAATAAGGTCAGGAGAGCCAAGGTACAGGAAGCCTGGCCCTGCTGGCAGGCTGGTGTAGCCTCAGGTAGGACCCTGAAGAAGAGTCACCTGCTCTGTATCTCCACCTCTGCTGTCCTAGTGAGATGGTGGCCTTGATTTGGCAGATAAACCTGCAGGTCAGAAGTGGGGAAATGTGACCACCTGGACCTGCAGCAGATAAGAGAAGGCCTCCAGATTCTACTCCTGTCAGTCTGGGGAAACCCATACAGAAGTGCGCAGGTGTGCTGTACTTTTGTCTCCAGGGTTTCTGGGAGGCGGCCCTTGCTGTGAGGATCTTCATCAGGACACGGGAGGAGCCACATCCTGTTGGCAAAGGGAGGAGGCCTGGATCTGCCGGGAATCAAGAAGAGGAACCTAGGTGAGCACAGAAGGTGATTTGTATTGTACTTAATTATTGTATTATAGAAAGTTGTTACAAGTGCATGACCCATGTTCATTCTTTTTATCTCTTTATCCTGTCCCCTCTCCCTGTATCTCTTCAAAAATATAGGTGTGTATATATTTGTATATAGGTATTAAACATATTTTGAGTATATAATGACCACATTCCTTGTAGCAATTTGGTGCTTGTGGGAATGTCACAATTTCCCACCTTTTTTGCTGATGTCTTTCACTTCTTCCCCTTTCTTTCAATCTATCAGTTCCCTCCCATATGCTAAAGATATTTCTCAGTATTTATATTTGCTTTTGGTCTTTATATTTTGGGTTTCTCCTATGAGAATGCAATATTTAAGCTGTTATG